TAATTGTATCAACCACTCGGTAGTTCTAGTATTAATGAATACATTCAAATTAAACGAAATGACTACCTCTGCTAGTATAGATACATGTACTATATAAAAACAACTCTAGCCGTAACACAATAGTTCCATTATCAACGTACCAGAAATATAGGAACACCTTCAAAATTGTTCAACGTTTACAGCTCGAAAGGTGAAATATTCGAAATCATAGTCTTTAGGAACTTTGTTCAACGATAGATTTCCTGCTATCACGCGTAAAACAATACACGTTTCAGATATAAAAATACGTCTCTGTGTATTAAGTAAAATTAACTGTGTTCGTGTGGACAGTAAAATCGTCAAGGAAATAGTCGTTAATAAATGAAATCCCTTCTTAAGTACGTGCCAGCAAGAACATTTGACTGGATAAGGAAAAAACTATTGTTAAGTATCGTCGGTGTAAAGAGGGAGAGAGGCGCAGAACGTAGGTTTACTCTCCCATTTTCATGCGAAAGAAGTGAAGAGATGGGGGTATCCTGGGGTAGATCAGGCAGATGTATCGTCGTTACCCCAGAGTGGTTAGACTGTGTCGCAGTCACACCAAGGGACGAGCGATAATCGAATGCGACTGTACCTGCGTGCCAGGAATTCCATCAGTACCCTGGGGACAAATAGAATACATCGTTGGCATCTCGGTGGCAGCATAATTGAGTTCTGTACGAACGAGATATCGTTCCGTCCGCGAATCTTTAATGATTCAGGAAATTCAAATTCTACGGAAGATCTATTAGGTCGCTCCATAAGTTCCTGCATTACCGTTTATTTTTTACGATATAGAATAATATTTTATTAAATATAACATTCTTGTAACTTTACAACCTGTCGCTCTCGAATACTTTCCACTGACTAAACTGAAGCAGTTCAAACTCGTATCGCTTTGTGATTACAAAACGTAACACGAGAAATATAAACACACCACGGCATGAACTTAGGACAACCCAATATTTATGAAAATAACGCAAATGTTAACGTAAAATTTTAACACATTGTATGCCGTACAGTGGGCAAAATCATAGCTTTTCTGGTCAAAAGTCTAACATTCAAATAAATGAAGATAACTCATTTTCTAGTAATATTGAAATGGTTTTTAGTAATTCCACACAAAAATGGTAATTATTTTATATAGAGCTACTAACAACAATAAAGGATTACTGCTATTATTAGTTATTCAAACTATATTATTACTATATATGATTTACTCTTAATATTTATTATTATTTATATTCACGACGAGTTTACGTATTCATTTTTTATTTTTTAATAATCCTGTTGTATTTATTATTATAGTAAATACTTTATCTTTAATTGAACAGATTATTTAATTTCTTTAAGAATTCTGAAAAATTGATTTTTGGCTACAGAGACAGTTATATTGTTTTGAATGTCTACTAAAAATACTGTAATTATGCTTATAATGTGTTAAAGTTGAATTACCTTTATACGCGACGAAAAATTGTCGCTCAGTAGCTACTAAAGCTCCGGATTATCTGTTTACAGGTTTATAGGTGTAATTGGTCATTTATAATTTCACGTAAACGACTATTTCAACGTTCTTTTTTAACGCTAAACGTACCGCAACCGTCCAAATGACCGATTTTAAAATTTGATTGAATATTTTGCGTTTTCTGTCGTCCATTTAACTTCATATTAATTCCTATACTGTCCGATTAATCGGCTCTTCAATTTATATCTTTCCTTCTATTTCTATTTTCATTAAAAAAATTGATCGTCTAACTTGTTTACTTTTATTTTATACTCAGTTATTCGACTATTTACATTAGAAATAGCTGTGTATAAAGTGTTAGTACGTTTAGTGTTAAACCTCTGCATACTTATTTGTCTATTTTTTTGAATGCAAAAATACGTATCGTATTTCATCTTTTTTTCAAATGATTAATGTATCTGTTTATGAAATTGTTTTGTTAAACGTTTTTTTGAAATTATTTTCCAACTGTTACAATTTACAAATGTAGAAGCTTTACATAATAATAGTACGTCATATACTAAAAGTGTGTTGAAACATATTTTACTATATAGATTTATTATCAAATGGTTTTTTTAGTAAGAAAAGGGAATATAGGATGAATGTTGGAACATTAAATATTTAAACATAGTATTTAAAGTTTGTGGAATCTACATGTATTAAGTATGTATTGAAATATATAATATATATATAGTATAATTATGTTATACATATAAATATATTTTGATACTATTCATGATTGTCTGATTATAAAAAGCATTTAGACATTTATAATTATTTGTAAATGACTAATCAAATATTCGTTTAGTTCGTTTTTGAAAATAAATTTATAAACATAAAGTCTTTCAACATTTAAAAGTTTATCTACATTTTAAACGTGTACATGTCATGTAAAATATACATCAACCAGAGCTTTAGTTGCAAATTATAAATTACCACAACGCATTTGTATCAAAAGATATAAACGCATTCAAACAGATGTTTTGGGAAGTAAGTTAAGATTTCCAACAAATTGTTTGTTCGTCAAAAAGCTTATAGAAGTTTGTACGTGTATTACATACAGTAACAAATGAAAATTGGTAATTTTTAATGATCATAGACGATACGTTTGAAAAACCGTTAACTTATTTCCTGGAACAGTTTTAAACCTTTGCACTCCAAAAGTTTGTCACTAGAAATACTTAACATTTTCTCATGAGATATAAATTACGTTTCTTAAAACTAATTTAACGAGAAATCACACATAAATTAAGGAACAAAGCTATTTTATTTGAATATTTAACATATTGATGCATTGTACAAAGATTATTATGAAATATTAAATTTTATAATTTTATATGTATTAAATCAACTGGGCACTGATAGTGACGATTGGAGGGTAAAGGGTTAATAATACTTTTTAGATATGTGAGAACACTTACAGGTAGTCCAGGGTCCCCCCTTTCACCCTTCATGCCTGGTTCTCCTTGTGCACCCTGTAAGTATGAAGGAACATAACGAACACTGTTCTTCGTATAATACTATCCTTGACAAATAGTTTTCAGTCGAATGAAGCTACCTAAAAGTAATTATATCTTAGAAATGTGGAACACTATCATATAAAATATGTCTAAAGCAGATAGGATAATTTGATTAGCATTATATAAAGTAAATAATAACAAAATAATAAAAACTTTTATGTATCACCAAATTGTACAAAGTAAATGGATAAAATATAGAAAGAAGTTTTTCATCAATTGGAAGGTCTGGAATAAGAAGTAACAGATTAATTTTCATTTTTATTTCAAGATCTGTTTCATATATTAATTTCTTTAATTTTGTCTTTTATAGGTCTATATGTGTAATTCAAGTCAGAACTATTCATTTAATCTTTTCATTGTTATAAGACTGCTGTAGCAAATAACTCGCTATTGTTATACTTCACTGGTAATTGAAACTATATTATTCATGTCTTTCCTTCAAATGTAGATACCTTTCTGGATATATTTCATTCTTTTACTATTTTTTCCTTTTTTTATAATAAATTGAAGTTCTTGTTATATTGTTATCAGATACTTCATATAAAGTTAATATTATTGTTCAATCTATCTTACGTATACGGGTGTAATAGTATTTTTAAGTTCAAGATATAATTACTCGCTTTTAGTTAGCTCGAACTGTGTGTGATCAAAATCCTTTTGCCAGGGTTAGTATTCATTCTAAGTACCGTCAAGCTCGAAACCAGTTAATTTACGCCCGAAAGATGAAATCAAGGGGTGGAGCGTAGAAATTGTGGATCCGAAAATCATAAATATAATATATGATTAAACGGGTCACCCCGAAGATTGCTCACCTTCATGCCGTCTAATCCTGGTGGCCCCTGAAAGGTAGAGGAAACCGTGTCAGATTCGTTGATGTCACCTGACGATTAATTGGTATCGAATACGCTGATTTAAATGTCATTGATTACTGAGGAACTTAAATAGACGCCCACTACATCGTCATTCGCAGCAATATTGTATCCTGCCAAGCTCTACCTAACTTTAGCACTTCCAAAGGCATAGTTGTATGCACATAAAGAAATAAATCATCCTTTTCAAGCATTTTTATCAAGGTTACACTCTTTGACAGAGGCGTGTAATAAGCTAATATTATTCTTTTTTATCTTTCAGAAATCCTTGCATCGAGTTTATATCTTTTTTACGACAATCACATTTAATACCGACGATGATCAGTATCAACGAGAAAGAAAAGCAAGGAAATTTTTCATATTTTGTTTCAACCCTTTGTGATACATAACCATCTCTTCGAAAATGTTTAAAGAAAGCTTCAAATATTGCAATAAGACACAATAAACATCGTTCACAGTTTGAATTGATTTTTTGCCTCAAGATAATAACGGTAATTTCCTCGCATAAGCGAACCGTGTTTACAGGTCGAAGTTACATTGATAATTCGAGAAACAATAGAAAAATTAGGCGTTCGAAAGCTGCTAACACTTCGTCATAAAGGGTTGATATATTTTCAATTGTTGCGCTGAATTGTTCTTCATTGTGAGAAGATCTGTCGACAAACGTCGCATGACGAATATGAAAAATTCCGATGCGGCATAAAGTTTACGAGCGAGGCAGGGATACAAATGACGGACGTCAGGCAAGGGGGAATAGAAAGAAAGGGAGCT